AAAAAAAGAGACTGGGTCTCACTGTTACCCAGGCTGGTCCTGAACTTCTGGGCTCAAGCAATCCACTCACCTCGGCCTCCCAAAGTGCTGGGTTTACATGCATGAGCCACCGCAGCCAGTCATATTTATCTTTCTTTATTCAATTTCCTTTTTCCTTCTCTTTTTATGTGCTAGAGAAGCACCCAAACTAACACAGCATTAAAAGTTAAGGACCCCTAAGCTAGATCAATTACTGGTTCAATCTAAAAGCATTCTCAAATAATAATAGTAAGCAGAAAATACTTATATAGCATTATATTAAGTGCCATGTACTGTTCAAACCATATTACACATATTCACACATTTCATCCTCCCAAAAAGCCTATGAAGTATGTACTATATCATTTCTATTTTACAGGTAAGAAGAGACTCAGCAAGTAACTAAGCCAATGTTATTCAGCCAGTAAGGGTAGAATTATAATTTAAACCCAAGCAGTCTGACTCTCAAGTCCCTACCTTTTTTTTTTTTTTTTGGAGAGTCTCACTCTACGGCCCAGGCTGGAGTACAGTGGACATGATCTCAGCTCCACTGCAACCTCTGCTTCCTGGGTTCAAGCAATTCTCCTGCCTCAGTCTCCTGAGTAGCTGAGATTACAGGCACATGCCACCACACCTGGCTAATTTTTTTTATTTTTAGTAGAAACAAAGTTTCACCATGTTGGCCAGGCTGGTCTTGAACTCCTGACCTCAAGTAATCCAACCGCCTGGGCCTCCCAAAGTGCTAGGATTACAGGCGTGGGCCACTGTGCCCAGCCTCAAGTCCCTGCTCTTAATAAACATTACATTACACTATACTGTCTGAGAAGTGACATTAATAAAAAACAAATGTAATCAGTACTAGTGGGGTGACAAGTATATATCCACAACAGTTACCAGCAATACAAACAGGAAGGCAAAAATAAAGAAGAGGAAGCAAAAAACAGGTGCTAAGCTCACTTCCTGTTTTTCACCCTGCATATAACTACTGAATTTTATTGGGAAAAGGGAGGCAAGAAGAAAGAGCAAGATAGAGCTTGCGCTTCCCCTTTCTATTTATCCACAAGTCTTCCACTTCTTAGACTTCCTGACCTGACTGTTAGCAATTTGTTACAAACTGGTTGGTTGTGAGTCCCGTTAAGAGCCTAGGTTTTGGAATCAGAGTGGCTTTAACCACACTCTAGCTATGTCACCTCTGTGTAGTTTGGTTTCCCTGTCTGTAAAATGAAAACAGTATTACTTTTCTCATAAGGTAAACTGACTAAGATAATACATGTAAAGAACTTGCAACAGTGCTTGGCATACAGTACATGCTTAGTAAATGTTAACTATTAGTCTTAAGTAAGAGTACCTTTAAGTCAATATAAGAAATTTTAAGGCCGGGCGTGGTGGCTCAAGCCTGTAATCCCAGCGCTTTGGGAGGCCGAGGCGGGCGGATCACGAGGTCAAGAGGTCGAGACCATCCTGGTCAACATGGTGAAATCCCTTCTCTACTAAAAATACAAAAAATTAGCTGGGCATGGTGGCCCATGCCTGTAATCCCAGCTACTCAGTAGGCTGAGGCAGGAGAATTGCCTAAACCCAGGAGGCGGAGGTTGCAGTGAGCCGAGATCGAGCCATTGCACTCCAGCCTGGGTAACAAGAGCGAAACTCCATCTCAAAAAAAAAAAAAAGAAAAAAAAAAGAAATTTTAAAACAGCAACAATTCCAAACTTCTTAGAAACTCCTAACAGTTTTTATTTCCATGATAATTATAGTACAATCAGCCCTCCATATCCACAGATGTAGAACCCACAGATATAGATGGCTAACTGTACTATGCCATTTTATATAAGAAACTTGAGGGAGAGATCCAAGATGGCTGATCACTAGCAGCTTGGGATTGTAGCTCCCAGTGAAAGCGCAGAGAACGAGAGGACGCCACACTTTCAGATCAATTTTTGTTGCTCATGCACCAGGAGATTCCCAGCGGAGGAGCCCCACGGGTCGCCAGCACGACTCTTGAGGCCGGTGAGGCGGTTGTGCCACCGCCTTGGTGCGGCGGTTGTTGGTGCAGTGTCAGAAAAGCATCATTAGTCTTAAAGCCGCTGTTTCGGCCAGCGCAGTGGGTTGCTCAGATTCTAGTGCCGGGAATCAACAAGTTGGAGGTCCATTGAGAAACCCAACTATAAAGACGGTAATTATAAAGACCACAGATGGATAAATCTATAACGAAGGGAAGAAACCAGCCTAAAAAGGCTGAGAATACCCAAAATCAGAACGCCTCTCCCTCTACAGGGGATCACAGTTCCTCATCAGCAACGGAACCAGGCCTGATGGAGAAAGACTGTGTTCCATTAGCAGAAGCAGGCTTTAAAAAGTGGATGATAAGAAACTTCTGGGAACTAAAAGAACTTGTTCTAACCCAATGCAAAGAAACTAAGAACTTTGAAAAAAGGTTTGATGAAATGTTAACAATAACACGCAATTTAGAGAGGAATATAAGTGAATTAATGGAGCTGAAAAACACAACACGAGAACTTTGCGAACTATGCACAAGTTTTAACAGCCGAAATGATCAAGCAGAAGAAAAGATATCAGGTCGAAGACCAACTTAATGAAATAAAACAAAAAGACAAGATTAGAGAAAAAAGGATAAAAAAGAACGAGAAAAGTCTCCAAGAAATGTGGGACTATGTGAAAAGACCTAATCTACGTTTGATGAGTGTACCTGAATGTGACGAAGAGAATCAATCCAAGCTGGAAAATACGCTTGAGGATATTACTCAGGAAAACTTTCCCAACCTAGCAAGGCAGGACGATATTCAACTCCAGGTAATACAGAGAACACCACAAAGATATTCCTCAAGAAGACCAACCTCAAGGCACATAATTGCCAGATTCACCAGGGTTGAA